GGAAGTCCAATTCCCCCATCATAGAGTCTCCTCCTAGCACGGTGTCATTTTTCCTCTACCTGTCCTAACTGAAAGCCCTATCAATTGTGGAGCCGCCCAGCGACAGGCAGCCGCAGCAGAGGGATGAAAGAGCCACATGCGGCCCCAGAGCCGCAGGTTGCCAACCCCTGGCCTAGGAGGCTACGACTTGATTGCGTTTTCTAAAATTATTTTCCTGAAGTATTTGAAATCAGCCTGAGGGAAACTAAAGTATATATTGCTTTTTTGGGTGGAGTGGTGTGTTGGCCTAGAGGTGGAGCTCTCACCACAATCAGGAGGCTGTGAGTTCAATCCTAGGTAGAGGCAGATATTTCTCTCTCTGAGCATGATGAGAATACATCTGCTGAATATAACTCTGCATCAACGACAGGAAGGGCATCCGGCCAGTAAACACTCTGCTAGCTCCATTCAGTTGGCCAGACTTCACCCTGCAGGGGATTATGGGGTCATTAAAAGGAGATGATGATGATTGCTTTTCCCTTGAATTAAAGCCCTTAGAATTGGCAGGTTCCAGATGTCCCGGCCCCTGAAAATTAAGGGTGTTAAGTGTTTAATTATGGCCACAAAGCGTTTTGTATATAGGAGCTTTTTTTTCGTGACTGGATTGCTTACACATCAGCATCCAGGGATGGAGAAACCTGGCCTACAGATCTCATCCAGAAGCCAACATTTGTAAGCCCTGGTTGAATGTGTTCAGGGGTTCTCCTATGTACAGCAGTTATTAGGACAATGACCTAGAAAGCACATTTTTCATCTTTCCATCCTTGTTCCTTCATATGGTCCAGGGACCTCAGGGACCACTAAATTCATAATTTTAAATCCCGCCAACCACTAATACGATCTGCCTAATGACCGGCTGGGTGGGCGTGGCTAGGTGGTCATGTGACTGGGTGGGCATGGCCAACTCAATGTCACTCATGTCGAGGGGCGCCGCACCGGCCTCTACTCACCCCTTCCCCTCCCAGCCCCTCCTTGCCTGCTTGCCCGGGCTCCTTAGGGCCCCAACAGGGAGCAGTTGCTGGAGCTAAGCAGCCACCAGGAGAAAGAGTTGGCAAAACAGTTCAGTTCAAATTGGATTTGAC